GAGATTTCGGGATCTGGGGGGTTAACTCCTCCAAAAAGCATCTTGCAAAGGATCTTCTTCCAAGGGAAACGAGTGCTGACTCCAGGAGCAAAGTGAATCCCTGCTGTTGGCAAGAGGCTAAAAGGCCTTGGAGGGGGAGAAGGGAACAACTATGCTCCATTCCCAACGTTTTTCATTCTCCTGCCCAGGGAGAGTGGGGAAATCCCTGGGATTTAGACAAGCACAGCAGTTCCTTCCCCCTCTGGAAGCTCTGAGCTAACTGGGGACAGGGGGAAGAGGCAGAAGTGGGTTAAAAACAGCTCCTTCTGGTCAGAAGCTGAGCAAACGAAAGGCCTGGGCAGGAGCAGGGAGTGGAGCAAAGTGCTGCCAATCCATGGATTTCCTAGCCAGACTCACCTGGACCTCTGACCACCAAGGGTCATGTTTATATGGACCCATAAAGTCACCTCAGAGCCACGTGAGAGGCAAAGTTTGTGCAGCAGAGCTAAATCCTCTTCTCCAAAGACACCCCCAACCTCCCAGGGAGGCAAACCCACCCCCAAAGCCACCCAAAACCCAAAGCAAACCCAACCCACTGCCACACAAAGAGGAAAGCCAAATCCCTCCAGTCTCCCTGTGCCAATCCCAAGGGAAAGGGCACTCCAGATAAGGTTTTATGGCAGCCCAGACATCCCCCCCAGCAGCTCTGGTGGACTCAGGGACGTTCTGAGTAGGACAGAGGGATGTGGAGAGGATAGAGGGATGTGCAGAGGGCAGAGGGATGTGCAGAAGGATGCGGAGAGGGATGTGGAGAGGGCAGAGGGATGTGCAGAGGGCAGAGGGATGTGCAGAAGGATGTGGAGAGGGATGTGGAGAGGGCAGAGGGATGTGCAGAAGGATGTGGAGAGGGATGTGGAGAGGGCAGAGGGATGTGCAGAAGGATGTGGAGAGGGATGTGGAGAGGGCAGAGGGATGTGCAGAAGGATGTGGAGAGGGCAGAGGGATGTGGAGAGGGATGTGGAGAGGGCAGAGGGATGAGCAGAGGGATGTGGAGAGGGATGGGCAGAGGGCAGAGAGATGTGCAGAGGCCTCAGGATGTGCCCCGGGCCTTGCCAGGAGGGTCAGCCCTGACCTGCACTCACCGTTAGGCCGAATGTTGATGAAGGGATAGTTGGGCATCACCAACTTGTTGAAGTTGAACTTGTAGGTGAACCTTTTGCCTTTTGTCTTGTGGAGGATCCTCTTGTTGTAGTAGTATCTGAGAAGGGAAGGGAAAGTCATCAACCAAAGTCGATGAGTTCAAGGTGTTTCTTTCAGCACTGTCAACGTTCACCTCTGAGGGGGCTACAAAAAGGTGCCCGGAGAGTTTGGAGAAGGATCTCAGGGACATGGAAGGGATTCTTGGGGTGTCCTGTGCAGGGTCAGGAGCTGCTAATTCTTGTGGGTCCATTCCACAATATTGGGATATTCCATGATTTCTGTGACTAACACAGGAAAACCTCAGCTGATCATAAGTTGACACAACTTGTGTCAGTTGACACCTACTCCTCTTCCAGCACATTACTTGGGAGAAGGAGCAAATGGAACCCAAGAGCTGAGGGAAGGGCCCAAATCACCTGGGATGGCCTTAGGATTGTTTTGATCCTGCAACCTTCCAGCCCAGGGATTGCACAGCCCACAGGGAAGAGGCTGGAACGGGGAGAGCTGCTTTCTGCTGCTTCATGCCTCCAAGGAAGTTGCTTCTCTTCTCTTCACCCATTTGCACCTTTGGATTAAAACCACTCCCTCACCTGCTCAGCTAATCTGCTCAGGGCTTGGAGTCTCATTCCCTCACCTGCTCAGGGCTCAGAGTCTCATTCCCTCACCTGCTCAGGGCTTAGAGCCTCATTCCCTCACCTGCTCAGGGCCTGGAGCCTGATGAGATCTCTCTCAGTCCTCTTCTCCAGACTAACCAGGCTCAGCTCAGTCTCTCCTCATCAGGGAGATGCTCCAGATCCTTCCTCATCCTCATGGATGTGATCACCCAACCACTTCCTTATCCCCCTAACACTCAGCTCCATCGCCCCATGGAGACAGGAGGATGCTGTGCCATGCCAAAGGGACACAGAGGTGTGGAGAGGGTGCCAAGCCACACTCAGGGCTGGAGACAGAGGTGACTCTCCATTCCTCAGCACCAACTCTGGGTTTCCTTCCTGTTCCTGCCGAGACTCTCCCGATTGCTGCTGTGTTTGCCTTGGGCAGCTCCACCCAGGAGGTATCAGAGGGTGTGAGGCAGCGAAGTCCACGGTGGACACTGATAATGCCACTCCTGGCAGGGCTCAAACGCTGGAAAACCTCTGAGGATCATGTTGGGTTTCCACTGTTTCACTTCCCAACACGCAAGGAAATCCGACACAAAACGTCTAGGGAAGGGTTGGAAAACGTGAGGGTGAAGTTCTGCTGGAGGTTTGGGAAGCAGCAGGTGAGGAATGCTCAGCCCTGGCTGCACAACCATGGAATGGCTTGGAAGGACCTTAAAGATCACTGAGGTCATGGCAGGGACACAACTCCACCAGCCCAGGCTGCTCCAAGCCCCATCCAACCTGGTCTGGGACACTCCCAGGGATGGAGCAACCACAGCTGCTCTGGGAGATCCATCCCAGTGCCTCAGCACCTCCCAGGGAAGGGTTTATCCCTCATATCCAATCTGGACGAGCACATGGAATCCTAGAATGGCTTGGGTGGGAAGAAACCTTAAGGATCATCTTGTTCCGCCATGGCAGGGACACCTCCCACCAGCCCAGGGTGCTCCAAGCCCCATCCAACCTGGTCTGGGACACTCCCAGGGATGGAGCAACCACAGCTGCTCTGGGAGATCCATCCCAGTGCCTCAGCACCTCCCAGGGAAGGGTTTATCCCTCATATCCAATCTGGACCAGCACAAGGACCCTGGAATGGGTTGGTGGGAAGTTCCACCCCCCGAGCAGCATTCCCTGTGCCAGGCCCATTATTCCCTGTGCCAGCCCTCACCTCAGGGCTCGGCTCAGCTTGTCGTAGTTCATCTGGGGCTTGCACTTCCTCCTGCCCCAGAGCCGAGCCACCTCGTCGGGGTCCTTGATGACGAACTCTCCGTACTCGCCCTGCTGCCAGGCGATGACGTGCCGGAACTCCTCCTTCTGCAGCAGCTCCAGGATGAAGTGCCACAGCTGGATCTGCCTCGAGCCAGGGCTCGACTCTGTCTTGTAGGCCCATTCTGGGAAGTGGTAACCTGGGGAGGGACCAGGAGCAACCAGAGCCAAAGTCACTTCGGCAGATTCCTGAAAATCCACCAAACGCTCCTCTAATGCCATTAAATATTCCCACAATGTCACTAGATATTCCTGTAACTCCCTAAAATATTGTGATTCCATCCCATATTCCTACTACTCCATCAAATACTCCTATAATTCCATTAGTTTTCAAATTCCATTAAACAGTTCTCAAATTCCATTAAACAGTTCTCAAATTCCATCAAATCGTTCTCAAATTCCATTAAATATTCCTACAAATCTATTCAATATTCCTGCAAATCTATTCAATATTCCTGCAATGCTATTAAATCTTCCTATAACATCATTAAATATTCCTGGAATTCCATCCAATATTCCTGCACATCCGTCCAATATTCCCTTTCCATTAAATATTCCTGTCATTCCAACAGATATTCCTACAATTCCATTAAACGTTCCCACAATGCCATTAAATATTCCTGTAATGCCACCAAATATTCCCATAATTCCATCCAATATTCCACATGGAAGCAGAGAGATCCTGTTCTCCTCCTCCAGCTCCTCATTTCTCACTCCCTTCAGCCCTTTCTCCTTGGAGAATCCCCCAGAACACCAAGAGGTAGAACTGGAAGTGTGAGGAGCCCAAAAGCTCTGGATAGTGCTCCCGTCTGGAGCTGAAATAAGGCAAGTAAATCCACTGGGATGAAATCCTGGAATGGGCTGAGCTGGGAAGGACCTTAGAGAACATCCAGTTCCACCTTGGGACACCTCCCACCAGCCCAAGTTTCTCCAAGCTCCAACCAGCCTGGCCTGGAACTCTCCCAGGGCTGGGAATAAGGCAACTGATCCCAACTGGAGCCTCTGGTGTGTGGATATTGGGGGGGAAGGCAGAAAACTCCCAGTGCCTGCAGCTCCACATCTCCTGGAGCTCCTGATCCCACTGTGCCAAGAGATGTTCCTGAGGGACTGCCAACCCAGATCCCTCGGGATACCTCCCAGCAGGAGATGGCTGAGGTGTTTGTGTGGCCACAGCTTCAGGCTGAGCCTTGGGAGAGGTCACATCCTGCTCCGGTGTCTCCCACAGCACCACCGAGGGCTGGGACACAGCTCCAGGCTCCAGCGGGAGGGATCCACCTCAGGCATCCCAAATCCTCCAGGGAATCCACCTCCAGCAGCAATTCCCTGCAGTCTGAGCCCGTAACTCCAGTCCTCACCCAGTAAGGAGCTGCTCCATCCTCCCTCTCGCCTTTGGAAGAGGTGGAATTAACCCCCCCGGAGCAGAGAGTTTGGGAGAGGTGGGATTAACCCTCCCTGGAGCAGAGAATTTGGGAGAGGTGAGATTAACCCTCCCTGGAGCAAAGAGTC